CAAGAAAAATATATGGTTTCACCGTATTGAGTATCACGTCAAGTGCATCTCTTTTTGGACAAAGTCTTACTCATTTCTTTGAGTGAAATGGACGCTTGGAAATACATCTAATTCACAGGTCCAAACATTGCCAGACAATTGGCTTAAAAAACATTGATTTTTTACCGACCCTTGGAATGTACAAGGAAGTATACGCGCATATTTTTTTAGAAACCACTGGAGATACGTTAATGGCCGCGTACGTTTATATAGTATGATATTACTAGTCCCAACTGAAGATATGAATAGCAGTAATTTAATATTTTAATTGAAATCGAGTGATAATACTTTAATTACGTTCAAGACAATTTTATTTCTGTTATAACATGCTTTATCGTTTACAGTTTTAAATTAATACTAACGAATTAGGTCACGAAGGGTTCGTTAATGACATCTTTTCGGTTCAAATTGATACAACAAATGAAACGTGTGCGAGATTAATGAGAAAGAATCATTTAAATGGTTTACCATTCACTTGAAATTTAAGCTAAACTTTTAATAGATACAAAGTTTCATGAAAAGACGTGTACATTTCTCTAGATGAAAGTATTTAAATCATGCTATAAGCAACAGAAGTGAAGTATTATTCAATTCGACAGATGACTTCTCGCAGTCGTTATACTGAAGTTTTTTCGCCGCCTTATTTTACAGATTTATTTTTTACGGACCGCCATCTGACGAGTAGATTAATGAATATATACCCCTCTTTCAGGATATTTGTTGCGTCGTTCAGGGTTTCAAAGGGAACATAACTTTAAGCGATGTCGTTAAATAATTTTTCAAACATTAAACATAGAAAAAATTATTTACTAAGTCGTACTCAATAAACGAAAGGCAGGCCATGGAGTTCATCTGTATTTTATGATATTTTTATCGCCGCTAATGTCATTTTAATACATAAGAATGCACCTATGCCAATTTTGGACTCAATTCTATTTAATCTGACTCGGCAGTTCCTCTCGCGGCCGCGGCTGTGGCTGTGCTTTTGAGTTTCCTGAATGCGACACATGCCTCAAATCTTCATCTTGAACTCGATAAAGTTCGAACGTTTGGCCACAGAGTTGAAGAAGCTTCTTATTCAGTCGTTCCTCATACACAATGCCCGTTGCATCATTTGTCTTCTCAGGATATCCCTCGCAGTCCTCACCGCTTACATTTTTCTGGTTGGTGTTACGTTTGCAACTCCTGGGTTGTGGTTTGTGCTTCTTTGGCTTCTGCACGTCGTTTGGGCCAGCGACGACGAGTGTTGGGTGATGCTTGCGCTGCAGGGAAGGGAGAGTTCGATCAGCCGTCTGACCGTAGTCTGCAGTTAGTATCACGTTTCCGGAAAGTTCTTCGTACGATCCACTTCGGTACTGAAAACGATGTTTGATAGAAAGATGAGAACACAATCATTACTGATGTTACTATTCTGGTAGATAGGAATAAAATTTTTGGCAGGATGATGATGTGCTAAAAACTTTGGCACATGGTTAATTTGGAGAATATTTATCGTTTGGCTGATGCAGTATTTGATGACTCACCAAGCTGGCATCAGAGACACCATGCAATGAAGGCGGCTTGTAGACAACGCCCGCGAAACCCTCGTCGCTCTCGTGTTGTCTGAAGAACTGTTCATCGCGCGCGTGCAGTTGCAGGTCCTTGCGGTAAGGATCATCTTCAGTCTGTTTTAATAATGGTCAGGCATCACAACTTTATCATGTGACATAGTAAAAATTTTCCTGAAACTAACTTACGTAATGGGAAAAAAATTTAGAGTATATCTAAATCTGACGTCGGGACAACGTTCTTTGTTGATAATGATAACCCAATTATTTATATTTGCATCTACGCGCATTTAATCGATATAACAACTGAAACTCCAATCACTGATACTTGTAAGTTGGTTGAGATATACTAAGCTAACAGTTCTTGATGCCACAGTGTTTATAATTCAATAATATAATATTAAATAAGTGTTAATAAATTGCCATTTCTTTTGGCCATTTGCAGTTAACCAGACGCCAATTAAAATCACGATTTTGGACCATAACCAGGACCTGCTGCACGGGGCGTGGCGGCAGGAATCTTCTGTCAGGATGAGAGGCGGTCGCCCCTGTAGGATCGTCAGCGACAGGAGGAGCGCTCAACCTGCCCAACTGGTAGCTGGTTGATGCGTAGTGGTAGATGTCGTCTCCCGGGGCTTCATGATCTGGGATGGCGGTCGAAAATAATTCCGAGGGCTTGAAGACACCAGTTGATCAAAATTTACGCAAATTGTTAAAGCATTGATGTTAATCGAGTAAGTTTATCCTATACATAAAGATCAAAGAAATTTACGATTGCAGTGGATATTTTTCGGTTTGTTTGTTAAAAAAACATCACTGAGAAAATAATAATGTTTTCTATATTGTTTAAACTCATTACATGGTCCGCAAAATGCACCTGAAATGAGAGACTTTTGCAATAAGAGATTTCGGCTTCGGGAACAACACATGCGCGCAAATCAAGTTGCATAAATTTCTGGTAACTCCGCAGAACCTCTTTAACAGACATTCCCGCTATATTACTAATGGTTCGTACTAGAAATTCGTATATAATTTAAAGAAGACCCGATAGAAAAGTGAATCCCACTGTATAGAGAATTATTTTGACCACTAGGAGGAACTAATAAACTAACGGGCCACTTCAACCAAGAGGTACTTTCAAATGGACTCATTTTTACACGCTAATCTAACATAATCCAACAAAAATTATTCAATTGGAACGGCGACAAAGAATATTTTAAATAGTAAATAGCTTGGCAGGACCCAAAGAAGATCAAAATAATAGACATTTAATTACGATTAATAAATCCAACCATTGTGGGGGAAAGGCGAGTGTGGGGTTTTGACGGCCGCCATCGGCGTCGTTAAGACGTCTTTTGTGGAGTTTTTTCGGCTCGACTTCTGCGTGGCATCGCCTGCTTCGGCAACCGATCTCCCTGTGCACAATTAGGTTTTTATGTCCAGTGCGTGTAATAAAATCATGAAAATGTGCTTTGGTTCACGGAATTTGCGAAATGTTAGATGTTACAGCAGAAGGTATATATTACAGTGATATTTGAACAAAGCTCGTTAGAGCTTACTGACATCGAAGTAACAAAATACCACCAATGATACCTGGAAAACTTTTCAGTTTGACAACAATGATCCTTGGACTGATTGAATGAATGTTATCTTTGTTAAGAATGCTATTCTTTCTTGTAATGAATGTTATCCTTGAATGAATGTTATCTACCAAGCAAAACATACAATCATGCATGACTCACTTCTATTGAAGTAAATGACTAAGGTGGTCGCGATGAGGCACAGGGCAACTGTTGATACAACACAGGGCACCAGGATGCGGTGGTCGCCCAAGCCTCCCCAGCGACGTCTTCGGCCATCCACTCCTCCCACCCACCGTCGCCCTTCGTCTGCCTGGCCAAGCACGCTGCCTAATAAAAGAAATTATTTTGGCTTGTGGAATGTGGATAACTCATTGGATATCGTCGTAATAATCAAAGTATTATAAAAAGTATAGTTTTCATTTTGCCGAAGCATAACGCTCAAGGGCTATATATACTTTCCTGCGAATAGTGATGGGTGTGCAATCGTCTCGTCAAGCTCACTTCGCGGACAATTAATATTTTTCAAACGTGGGAATTATTCACGCAGTAAAGTGTAAGACATTTATGGAATGTTACATCCCGTTCTTTTTAGCACATTTTTTCATTTATGGAAAAAATTCCCTATTGTGCTCGTAGTGTCCGTCTGTCTGTCTGTCCGCCCGTGACTTCACGTTTTCGTCGACAAGAAAATGCGCTATCTGTCACTCACTGCAGTGAGAACTGAGTTATATTTTTCTGTATGCATGCCGCTAACGTCTCGCATTCCCATAAATACGACACGTTAAAAATACTTGGCCCACACATTATATGTTTATATGTATGGATCTTGTAATTACAGGACACGGATGAAAATAAACGAACGGAATTGCCAGATTCGAAGTGCAAGCTGTTGGCGGTATCTGTGTCCTTTACAATAAATGTCCAATAATGACATTCAATATCTAATAACGAGTATATTAAACTTTTACTGACAATTTAGTTTAAAAAAGTAGTTAGTTCGTGAGTTTTTTCCAATGATGGCTGCTATAAAACTGGACTGCATTTTTACCTATCCTTTACAAGATGTCACGACAATGAGAATTGTTCAGGTGTCTGAACAGCTAGGTGAGCAATAGACCAAGTTTATAGAATATTATGTCAGACAAAATGTCCCGTGGTGACGGTGTAGAAAGCTGAAGTTGTTCCTGCAGAATTTTAGGCTGCACCTGCAGAGTACAGAGCAGCGGTGATGACGGTGTAGAGCGCTGGCGTTGTTCCTGCAGAGTTGTAGGCCTCACCTGCAGAGTACAGAGCAGCGGTGGTGAGGGTGTAGAGCGCTGGCGTTGCTCCTGCAGAGTTGTAGGCCTTAACTCTGATCTCGTAGCGTTCGCCAGGCTGCAGTCCTCCCACTCCGAACGTTCTCGCCGCTGCCACGTCACTGCTCACTGTAATCATTTTGATTTGAAAATGATAATAGGCTGGTTCTATGGTTTAACTTCTATTACCTACAGCTCTGCTGCTAGTGATTTCTTTTAAATAAGCCGGCAGCGATGTTGATTCGTCTTAGTAGAAAATAATCGTTTTCCGTCCTCTATTCATTCGACCAAAACATAACCTTAAACTGCCTCAATCACCCTAACTATGCGCATAGCACCCATCCCAGTCCCTTCCTGACCTTAGCATTTCTCTTCCTCTTTTCTAGCCACTCTGTGCCACCTTAAGCTTCTATAACTTTTTTTCTACCGGTATCACCAGCACCCGCTGTCCAGTGCGCACAACGCAGTTTACTGTACCGCACCAGGAAGTGGGTGCTGTATTCATCACTGTCACACTCACCGGTGGTCCAGTAAGTGCTGTGCAGCTTGCGGTACTGCACCAGGAAGTGGGTGATGTCACAGCCTCCGTTCTCCCACTGGGTGAGGTAGAGCGTCGCTTGGGTGCTGTTGCTCGTGATGAACTGGAACTGCGGGGGAGGTTCAGGGGCGCGGCCCTTCGTGCGTGCCTCCACCACCTCTGATGACTCGCTGCTGCCTGTATAGTCGGCAGTGAATTAAATGAATTTTAATAACCATTATTAGCTGATTAATTTAACCAGAGCGACTGATTAGCACAGTGAATGTCGAGATCTTTTAGCACAGTGAGGAATCTTGAATAGAAATAAAGGCTATTGACGGGACTGTAATAACAGAAATGTCTATGCAGAGGCCGCGCCAATGAAACTCGCGTCATAAACGAGTGAGTCAGCTCATAAGACATTAATTCGTACAGATTGCACCATGTCTCGGTCTAATCAGTCTACTACGCTTCCCATACCATTCATAGCCAAATACCTTAACGACTTCATGTGTAATCTTTAGAAACCGCTTCGGTTCAAATTCATCTCGGACAAACAGAAGACCTAGTTTGTTAAATAAATTTCATCAACGATTCATATGACTTGAATTCCTCAATATGCGCTCATTGTTGTCAAATCATATGAATCATTGTTCCTCAAGATGTGCCATCAAGACTCATCGGATTAAACCAGTGTAGCTCAGCAAATATCTCCCTCTAATGCTGAAGTGATGATGAAATTATGGGTACGCGTCTGCATAACACGTATATAATTAACGCGTTAATTATTAAAGTACGCCTCTGGATAACACTCATTTTATTTCTATTTAGTATTTCTTACCGATGATGTTACGCACTGTAGAGAAGAAGTGATACAAGCTGCCGCATTTCAGACCAGTGACAGTGTGACTGTTGGTTGACATGTTCATTTCCAGTGTCTCTCCGCCGGCAGACCTGCATATATACCAAAAAATAATTATAATTTACAGAGTTCCCCATCGGCAGCCCCGTAAACACAGTCGCTGCAACTTCTGTCAGGCTAGCCCAACGATTATATTTTTAAGCTAATAATAATAACATATCAGACGCTATGTTAAAACATGTGCGCAGAAGATTTCTAGCCATTCTAGCGCTGTTTGATAAATCTGCAGTGTACCTAACCGCTGTAAATTCTCAGGTAACATGGTTTTAATAAATGGCAGTCGTTGCAATAATGTGAGTTTTTTCTGGTGCTATCGATTCACCACTCACATTTCACACTCGAAAGCTGAAAATAATTCGAGATTTCACCGCAACCTGTGATACAGAGTTCAGAGTCAGCAGTTGAACGTAAACTTAATTTCCGGATCTGTAAAGTGGCAGCGAAAAATTTCACTGAGCTTGGGCAGATCTCTGAACAGCCTCGATATATATTCAACAGATTGGCTGACAGATAATAGAGCTGTTCCGAAGCAGGTCTCTTTGAACCAACGCTTTTTCAATGAAAGGCTGACCGATGCTAGAGCTGCTCCAAAGCAGGCCTCTGAACATCAACGCTAGTACTCATTTGATTGGCTAATCGAAAATAGAGCTGCTCTGAAGCAGGCCTCTGTGAACCAACGCTATTTCAGTGAAAGGCTGACCGATAGTAGAGGTGCTCCAAAGCAGGCCTCTGAACATCAACGCTACGTACTCATTTGATTGACTGACCGATAATAGAGCGTGGCGCCATGGACGGGCGCCCCTCCGTCGTCGGCCACCGTCCACTGGAGGCGGACAGAGGACGCTGTCGTCTCTGTCACGTGCAGCAGGGGCGGTGAAGGCGGCACTGTGGACAATAAGGAACTAAACACCGCGTCGCGTGTCTGGTGAGTAGGCAGGCGACCAATATTCATAAGTATTAATTGATGACAACTTTTGAACTGATCATCGAGAAGATCAATGGTTACTATTACCTTAGACTAGAATTAGCTACTCATAACCACCTACGGAAAATTATCACTGTAAATGAACGGTGCTGATAATCATTCTCTCATCAAAGTAAACTGGTACAACAGGCAGTATCATCATCAATCAGCAACTACAAATTTGAAGGTCTAGAAGCTGCATTTGCATCTCATAGAAACGAAAAATAATTACCAAGAGCTTGACACCTGCAGACACACGCACACAAGTCATAATTTGCACAGTGATTCGCCGCCCACATGATTGGAAGCAGTAAAGGGAAAGTAGAGTGATGAAACATGCAAGGTGCTCGAGCATCTACCACAGTATGACATGGTAGATGCACGAGTTCACCATCACTCACTGATGGCTTTTAGGTGTTGGGTGAACTGGTGCACTTTGTATAACGTCGCTCACAGATGACTCTGAGGTGGTAAGTGACCCAGTACACCATCACTCACTGATGACACTGAGGTGGTAGGTGACCCAGCGCACCATCACTCACTGATGACACTGAGGTGGTAGGTGACCCAGTACACCATCACTCACTGATGACACTGAGGTGGTAGGTGACCCAGTACACCATAGAACCTAAACTTCGCCACCCTCTAAGGAACACCTGCCTTCTGGCCTATGTATTTCATCTTTTAACCACCCAAGTTATTAATGGCTGAACATGTTCAGAATTTGAAAAAAAAAATCATGAGATTATGAAGACCATATTATTGGCCAAACATTTTCAGAATTTCAGTACTCGGAAAAAATTATAAGTTATGTGGATACAACACCCTCAAACAATCGGATGAAATCATTATTTACACAAGGAATTTAAAAGCAAAGAGAAACCCAAGCAAAATCCCACATCGATGTTGAAAACGTTTTGGAGTCCAGCTCCATCATCAGTTCGACAATCTAAAAATGAATTTGCTTGGCGTTTTCTTTACTTTTAAATTCCTAGTGAACTTGCGATAAAAGCAGACTGTAATATAAGTACATTATATACACAATATGCATTGGTTGTAGATACGGCGCCATGAATTTCTTTCTCAAAAGTTATACGTATGATATAACTTTTGATATATGATATGATATAACCAGACCTGTCTTCCGGTAGGCTGGAGTCTTCATAGGACCAGGCGCGGCGCACAGGCGGATCACCAACGGTCCTGCAGGCGAGCGTCACGTCCTGCTTCCAGGCGACCGTCAGGGGACCTCCCACAGACCACACCCCCGCCTTCACTGCTTGCGGGACGCGTTTTGATGGTGATTATCGTTAGGTAATTAATTCATCATTAATAGCAATGTTATTATTATTGTTTATTTGTATTGCTTGTAGATGGGGAGGGGCATTCATGTTATTGTTAAAGATACCCCAAAAATGGCATACAATAAGTAAGCCGGCTGATATATTCCCAGAAAACCAATAGAAATCATTTTAANCAACTGGGCCACCCTGCCCTAACCCTGTACGTCTTGATAATAGCGAAAGATTGTGAGAAAATTGTGGATCCACCTGAGGTTACTGTAATGTTACTGGCACAAACACAACCGGAGGTTACTTTATTTCGAGGATTACAGAATTGAACTGTTGCGCCCGTTTGCGTTGGAGTAACATTCCTAGAAACGAAGCGACGAAAAACCAAACATGTAAATAAAAGTCGTAGTTATGCATAGTCGCACACGAGACAGTAGTAAAGATGTTGATTGAATTTAGCTATTTTTATAATGATCGCTTCTCAGCTAAAACGAATTAAAAAGAAATAAAATCAAGTTTCAATCTAGGACTAAAGAAGGTATTCAACAATACTCTAGCAGTACGGTCAATAAATAATGGAAGGTCTCAGAACCAAGTCGACTCTAATGGCGATGGATTGCGAGCGTCAAATAATTATCAACAATTTACAGAACCGATAAAAAAAATTAGTCTTCACAATCAAAAAGCATCAAAGCCCCACAAAAACAACAATAAATGTCCATAAGCGATTTCTGACAAATTTTAATTTCCAATTATTAATTTTAAGGCTGGAATTCAGTGTCAATGAATCGAAAAGTGATTTGCCAAAACTTAATAATTTCTAAAGTAACTGGGTATTCATCTCCACGTTTTGGAGCTACTCCGATTCAAACACATGGTTTAATGTTCTTAACTCTCAGCCTGTATCCAGATGTTTCGTCGACGCCTAAAGACGCAACTATTTCGTAGAGCATATGAATTAAGAGCTTAGTAATTTATATCAGTTCTCGTCCTTTCTCGTGTCTATTCATTTTTGGCTTGTTATGAAACTTATGAGTAACGTGACCTCGATGTTCGTTTGAACCACACGCCACGATAATAGCTTCAAAAACTAAATAATAATGAGCTTCTGATGATATCATGGGTTGCCTATTCGGTCTCTCAATAAAAATCCTGCTGAATTTCTGTTTGTTTCGAAGAACTAAAAAATTTTTTGGTATAGGATGTCATGCACGTGAAGACATCTTACCTCGATGCTACCAGGCGGAAGGTTTTCAAGGAGGATGTGTTGGGTGTTGGGGTCAACATTTCTGAGGTTCTGGTCATGAGGTGACCCCACTTGGGTCCAGTAAACGCTGTAGTGCGTTATTCGTCCGTTACGATGTTGTGGTGGACGCCAGGACGCCATCACACTTGCGGGCCCGGCCACCACAGCCTTCACGCCGCTCGGTGATGACGGTCCTGTTCAGAAACGAAATGGACGTATTACAATAAAAAAAAATTTAAATAAAATTTGTGTCAAAATTCAAATTATATGAATGAAGAAATAAAAATTTCAAGGAATACTTTGAATACCATTATTTGGTCAGTTTCGTTGAATAACAGTTAAGTTACGCTTCAATATTATGAAGGTTACTGAGTAATAAATTTCCCTGACTTGAAAATTCGATGTATTCTATTATAGGAAAAATAAAAAGAATCCATGCCTAAGGTGATAGATGCGTCAGAAAAGAAATACTGTACGATGCTGATTGGACGCAAAGGAAAAGCTCCTGGATGACTACAACATATTGAAAAGAAAGCACTTGTTTCTGCTCACTGTCTTCCATGGTGGTGCAGAACACATGCTGGCTAGCGTTGCTCTCGCCGACGACTGTTGCGGCCGTCACGACGACGCTGTAGCGCGTGTACGGCCGCAAGTTGGAGAGTTTCGTGGACAAGCCTTCAACCGCAACAACCACCATGCCTGCTGATATTCCTAAAATAAATATTACTTACATTATTATTTAACATTCAATTTCAATCGCAGAAAACTTTTAGCGAGTAAAAAACACGTGTTAAATACGGGTTTGGTACTGTAGGTACAGAGGAACCGGATCCCGGTACCGGATCCTGAGGTACAGAGGAACCGGAAGAGCTGGAATGGATCACCGCTACCTGGCACCTGACAACTCGGAAATCGAAGAGAAGCGACTCGTTCGCGATCTAGGAGTGTTGATGAACAATCAGATCAATTTCGGTGATCACATACCGGCAATAACCGCAAAAGGTAGACGACAGATGGGGTGGATCTGGCGGACGTTCAGAACGAGAGAAGCGGAACCGATGANTCCTAGCCGGAACTGGTGTTCCGCTTGACTGAACCACCTCATTACATTATATTGGTTGAACGTCGGAAGCTTAACTGACACGTGTGCTGCCAACATGGCAGTGAGTTGTTCACCTAATGCGGCAGCGTTCACATTTCCAGTGGCGGGGTTGGCGGCGGTGGTGGTGGCGCCGAGTGGGTCCATCTTGCAAGGTGTCGGTGGGTAGGCGTCCAGGGTTTGTTGTAGTAATGTGAAATGGGGATGTTCGATTTATGTTTTTGGCCTTTCTGGGAGTGGAAGATATTTATTTTGGTGTTGTATCGGAGCGGGAGTTAAGGTCGGGTGTTTGTATCCAGGGGTCACCACTGAGGAGAATGATGGGTAATCGGTAATTTGGTAACAATATAGGTAATGGTGTGGTCGAGGTAACCGGGGAATTCAGAAGGTTGGTTCAGAGAAGAGAGAAGACATACATACATACAAAGACATACATACATACATGAAGACATACATACATACATACATGAAGAGAATTCTCTTCATGTATGAAATCCGAGTTAGAGACCCAGTGTATTTGCAAGCTATTCTCAAGTAATTTTGGTAACACCGAACGACAGCGAGTCTTATTTCAAATAGGCTGGTAACGGTTCTCAAGCTTGGCAGGCGATGTTGCCAGAGTCGCGTGAAGAATATTTTTAGCTTGCACTTATTCTATGACTTACAGAATAATATTATTTAACCTTATTAGGGCTTAACACTATTGTAAATCATCGGCACATTTTATAGTTATGGACTGGCCATGGTTAACTGGCTTACGAAGCTGATTTATTATTTTAGTTATTTGTGAAGCTATCGGCCAAAGTTCACGAGCATCGTCATAATTGCAGTATTAACTATGCGACAAAGTACAGCTTTACAACTAATAATCTCAAATAAATTATAATATCTCTCAGCTTGGAGGTTATACACTATAATATTATCTAGTCACTACAGTACTATTGTACTCATCCGACGTGTAGATTTGCGGTTGATAACGATTGATCACAGAGTTCATCTATGACAAATCTTCAAAGTTTTTTACCTGACCAAGCTCCAGGTCAAGATTGATGAATTCGAACTCATATATATATTTTGCTCTGAAATTATAAATCTAGCCAGCTGCCATGGTTGAGCCTCCAGCCGGGATGTAAACTCATAACAGTCTTTTGCAACTCGCATTAGTTGAGGCTTGATCCAGTCATATTGAACGTGAAAATTTATTTGCTATCAGGCAGGAGAGTTTCAGATATCGGAGTATAACTTTATTACTAGAGAAATAAAGCTGTAGCAAACTGTGTTTATCTATATATAGTTCACAATAATTGGGTCCCACTTTATTGGAAAGAACATTTGCTTGCAACCAACTGAGTTCGAAAACTTTAAAAAACTGAAGGCCCACAATTTATTCATATATGTGGGCAGGAAATTTTTTATGTTTGGCAAAGTACGCTCCATGGATATAATCAAATTCTAAGTGCGGCATTGACGGAAAGTAGTGAAATAAATTAATTGCATTCGTGCATGTATTTCGGCTGAGATTCATGAACATAAAACAAAACTTGTATTCAGCGCAGGTTCGAGATCAGATATCTCAACAGGCTCGCAGGCATACCGATTGAAATAAGACAAATTAACCGTTCACGAAACAAGTCAGCTGGCGTGAAAGCTCAATAATGCGTGTAATGCTTAGTGCTTAATTGAGACTTAACGTAGATAAAAGTATGCTGACTGTCATGTCGGTTCATATCGTACAATTCAATAGTTTGTTTGTGTAATGAATTTGCGTACTATGTAATCAAAGGGCTATAAAATCAATATGTAATACAATATAAAGGCAAATGCGAGATTTAATTGGTTCACCTGATTGCAAACCAGATGTAGGAGTGCCTCCTGAGACAGGACTCAATAAATCTCTTGTTGAGCCTATAGGAAGAAACAATACAGATAAAAATTGAGTTACAAATTAGTTATTGATTATTTAAGCAAACTTTTTCGCAATGCCTAGCGAAATTAAAGTAGGTTTTTGAAAAGTCATAAAGCATGTAATTTTTATCAAGAATCTCAAAATGGAAAATTTGAGCTAAGTGTCTATGGTGTAACAAATGAGTCTCATGGAATAAAATTCTAAAAGCATTACAGCTATAAATATTGACAATATGTATAAATATTTAAGCTCTTTCTGTTTCAGCTACTACCAAATTAAGAATACAAAGTTTATGCAGAAGTAAGAAATCTTAGAAAATTGAATTAAGTACAACCTGAAAATGCATGGCGCCCAGCGCCAAAACTTCCGTCACTGATTGCTGTCAGTGCTGAAAGTAGGAATGAGCAAAATCAAAACACGGAACGGCGAAGACCATGGAATCACGTTACAAAAAAACATGAATAATGAATAATTTACATGATGTCTAATGTTAAGCAGCGTTTAATAGAGGCCATTTTATTTCCAGTACAGTTAGCTAACTGAACATGTTGCATCAACAGAAAAATATTTTGAAAGAAATTGGCAACGATGGAAAAATTTGCATCGGGTCTGACTCTAAGCAGAAACGATAGATAATTTGTGCGTAACAAACTTTATTTCATTAGTTATACGCCAATTAATTCTGTCCAGTCATCGAGACACCGATACAAGTCAAAAAAATCCCAAATAAGGTCAGGCACCTACATGGGTCAAGGCTTCTAAACGACTCTAAAAAATCCTACATGAGGCCAGGGTCTCACAAGTACATAAATTAAAGCACCTACAAAAGTATACAGACACGTAAATTTTTTAACGAAAATTTTTAATTTGAATTGAAATTTATCAATCTGTACACTTACGGTCAGAAGTAGGTGAATATGTGAGTCTGTAGGTGATGATGACGCCGTTGGCGAGATGCTCGGGCGGAGGCAGCCAGTTCACTACGACGCCTGACGACGACGCGGGCTCGCAGCTTACCTGCTGGGGGGGCGCACTGGGACCTATAACATGTTTGGGCATGTTGGAACATATTTGACATGTAGCAACACGTTCGGACATGTTGAAACTTATTTTGACATGTAGCAATACGTTCGGACATGTTGAAACATATTTTGATATGTTGCAGCACGTTTGGACATGTTGAAATATATTTGACATGTCCAAACATGTATTTTTATGTTGCAGCATGTTTGGACATGTTGAAACATATTTTGACATATTGCAACACGTTTGGACATGTTGGAACATATTTTGACATGTTGCAACACGTTTGGACATGTTGAAACACGTTTTGACATGTCCAAACACGTGTTTTTTAATGTTGCAACATGTTTGGACATGTTGAAGCAAATTTTGATTGCTGCAACACGTTTGGACATTTTGGTACATATTTTGCCATGTTTTAACATGTTTGGGCACGTTGAAACATATTTTGACATGTTGCAACACGCTTGGGCATGTTGAAACATATTTTGACATATTTCAACATATTTTATAAATAGTAGTTTGTTTACACATGTAGTGAAGGAATGGTAAACTTTAACGCTCGTGCAACAATTTCAAAAAATTTTGTACTCTATTCCGATGTAGTTTCAAAATCATGCCTGCAATTTTTTTAATCATCACTTGTTAAGAATAATTGACAGTAAAAAAGGACATTCGAATCGTGTTTGGCAAAATGCAAATTCTTGAAAACGAAAGTTTCTCTTTAAAAATAAAGGCATTAATGTAGGCGTTGATGGAATATGGAACAGAAGATCATCTCCTTTATTTGCATGCATATCGAACAAACTACTATTGGCTCCAAAATTTGTCTCACGTTATTACATTAATGGGTGCAAAACAATCTCGATATTGTCAACTTTTCTGTCCCGGTGTGTGCACTTCTCCTTACACTAATATTCGGTTGGTGTTATAGGTTATTGATTCATATTAAAAAAATTATGTGGGTATTTTAAATCTAGATGATAATCAAATGAGCTGCCACCCCTCGTATATGTTATTTTTCGCGCAATTTAGTGTTTTTATAACTTTTTATCTCAAAAGAAAAACGCTTCTTATTAAGAAGTTTCAGGTCATAACATGTCACTCACGGTCCTCCAAAGTTCTCGTCGTGACCGCAGCCGACGAAGGTCCTGCTCCTTTGTAATTGAAAGCACGAAGTACCAACGCGTACCGAGTGTAGGGACGCAGTCCTGCCAGGGTAACTTCCACGACACTGCCGACAACCGTGGGCGCCAGAAGTACACCATTACTCACTGATGACACTGAGGTGGTAGGTGACGCTGTCGCTGCCGTGGGTGTTGGTGGCGGTGCAGGTGTAGCGGCCGCTGTTGCTGCGCTGCGCGTCCAGCAGCCGTACGCCGCCGTCCGTAGCCAAACTTAGACGGCTGCACGGAATAAATTATTCTTTAACGATGTAAAATGTAGTGACTAATATCTATTTGGTTTACAACGGAGAGTTAAATTTTTATTATGATGCTTATAAATGATACTGCATCAGTTTTTCGGTCAATTCAGAAATTACCAATTCCAAAATATCTACTTGAAGAAAGCTGAACTTTCCATTGCCGCAGTCCAGCTTTAAAGGACTTTTTAAGTGCGCATTAATGAACCTAAACTTCGCCACCCTCTACGGAACACCTGTCTTCTGGCATACGATGTTCATCTTTTAACTCATCCAGGTTATTATTGGCCGAACATGTTCACAACTTTAAGAAAATCATTGGATTATTTATCATTAGTATGATTAGAAAATCATATTAATATGATTATAAAATCTAATCATTAATATTATTAGAAAATCATTGAACTAATCATATTAATGACCGAACTTTTTCGGAACTGCAGTAATTGATTATGTATTTTCGGAACGCTATGGTTTTTTTCTTCCCTTGATTTTCGGTACGCTATAGGGAGACAACACTCTCAAACAATGGGATGAAATCATTCATTATTTACACAAGGAATTTAGTTGCAAAGAAAACGTCAAGCAAATTTACCATATTGATATTGAAAACGTTTCGGAGTCCAGCTCCATCGTCAGTTCGACAATCTAAAAATGAATTTGCTTGGCGTTTTCTTTACTTTTAAATTCCTCTCGTGAACTTGCGATATAAGCAGACTGCTAATATAAGTACATTATATACACAATTTTCATTAGTTGGAGATACGGTGCCATGAATTTCTTTCTCAAAAGTTATACCTCTGATATAACTTTTGATTTTTGATATGATATAACCAGACCTGTCTTCCGGTAGGCTGGAGTCTTCATAGGACCAGGCGCGGCGCACAGGCGGATCACCAACGGTCCTACAGGCGAGCGTCACGTCCTGCTTCCAGGCGACCGTCAGGGGACCTCCCACAGACCACACCCCAGCCTTCACTGCTTGCGAGACGCGTTTTGATGGTGATTATCTTTAAGTAATTAATTCATCATTAATAACAATATTATTGTTATTGTTTATTTGTGTTGTTTGTAGATGTGGAGGGGCATTCAAGTTATTGGGAAAGATACCTACACAAAAGAGATGGCACACAAGAAGGAAGCCGGCGGATATATTAACAGAAATACCAAGAGAAGAATCATTTTAAGTTTTTGTTGCTCAGAAAAATTTGATTTGTTTAAAAAAAAAATAAAAATCCCAGAATCCTAATAATAATTGCTAGAAACATGCGCAGGATTAGTAAATTATCTGGATTATTTTGCGGACAACGATAACCATTTCACTAAAATTAGCTTTTCATTCCTATTCTATCCCATCACTTAAAAATTGATAATATGTTTCATAAGTTAATGAGGTTTTCATTTTAATTTAGTTCTTTAAAAAGCAGTTAACTGAGCGACAATTATAACTTTTCTACAATGCATTAAAATTATTTTTGTCTATAGCAGCTGTAGAACATCAAGCGAGGGCTATAAGCAATTATAAGCAATACTCAAAATAAAATCCTGATGAAGCTCTGACAAAGCATCAGCCGTGCTCATGTAGATGTTATTTCTTCATGCCGGAATTCTCAAAATCATTTTGAAGATGTACCTTTCTGTGTGGGTGTGACGATGAGCCTGGCACTGTCCCTGCCACGCCCTGCGCCGGTGTGAGCAGCAACCCACACCTTGACAGTAAACATAGGCTAAACCTTGTGCTACATGTGCTTCAGTAATAATATAATATATAGCGGTTTCAGCGTTTATTAAGCCGCAGGCCTATCGCCGATTCTTAACATTGCAGAACAACCACAGCTTGTTGTGGGCTTGAACTCGAAATTCATTGCTATACAATTCTGCTGTGCTTAACTGCACAGCATCACACCGCAACACAGCCGCAACAGTACTCTGATCAGAAACTGGCGCACAAAGCTGGGATCGAACCCGCGCCTCTCTGCTCCAATCTTGGTACTCTGAACTTTAACCACTGGGCCACCCTGCCCTAACCCTGTACGTCTTGATAATAGCGCAAGATTGTGAACAAATTGTGGATCCAACTGAGGTTACTGTAATGTAACTGGCGCAAACATGACAGGAGGTTACTTAATATCGAGGATTATAGGATTTAATTGTTGTGCCCGTTGGTGTTGAATTAACATTCTTAGAAACAAAGCGAAGTAAAACAAACAAGTAGATAAAAGTCGTAGTTATGCATAGTCACACAGGAGACAGTGGCAAAGATCGTGAATTCAGCTATTTTTATAATGATGAACGCTTCTTATCTAAAACAGAATTACAAAGAAATAAAATGAATATATAATCTAGGACATATATAAGAAAGATTCAACAGTACTCTGGCAATATGGTCAATAAATATATGTAGGTCTGATCACCAAGGCGGCTAATATCTCTCAATACAAATCCTGCTGAATATCTAATGGGCCCAGTGGACGCTGTAGTGCGTTATTCGTCCGTTACGATGTTGTGGTGTACGCCAGGACGCCATCACACTTGCGGGCCCGGCCACCACAGCCTTCACGCTGCTCGGTGATGACGGTCCTGTTCAGAAACGAAATGGACGTATTTCATTAAAAAATGTTTCAATAAAAAATGTATCAAGATTTAAATGGTATGAATGAAGAGATAACAATTTTAATGAATACTGTGAGTACAATTACTTAGCCAGTTTCGTTGAATAAAAGTAGAGTTGCACTTCAAGGTTATAAAGGTTACTGAGTAAATACGACAGAAGGTTAGGTTAGGTTAACGCTGACCCTGACTTAAAAATTCGATGTATTCTATTAATGCGAAAAATGAAAATAATGCATGTCTAAGACGATCGATGTGTCAGAAAAGAAATACAGTACGATGCTGATCGGACCCAAACGTAAAGCTCCTGGATAACAACAACATATTGAAGAAAAAGCACTTGTTTCTGCTCACTGTCTTCCATGGTGGTGCAGAACACAGGCTGGCTAGCGTTGCTCTCGCCGACGACGGTAGCGGCAGTCACGACGACGCTGTAGCGCGTGTACGGCCGCAAGTTGGAGAGTTTCGTGGACAAGCCTTCAACCACAACAACCACCATGCCTGCTGCTATTCCTAACGTAAATATTACTTACATTATTATTCAACATTGAATTTCAATCGCAAGAAACTTTTAGCGTATAAAAAACACTTGTTAAACATGGGCTTCGTACTGCTAGACTCATCCGGCGTGCAGATTTGCGGTTGATAACGATTGATCACAGAGTTCATCTAAGAAGCTTTCCTGACAAAGTTTTTTTCCTGTCTAAGTTCCAGGTCAAGATGGATGAATTGGCAAACATATAGTAGATTTTGCTTTGAAATTAAAAATCCAGCCTTCTGCCTCGGTTGAGCCTCCGGCCGGAATGTAAACTCATTACAATTTGTTTGCAACCAAAGCATTAGTTAAGGCCTGATCCTGTCAATTTGAACGTGAAACTTTGTTTGGTGTGAGGCTGGAGATAAATATCGGAGTATGATTTAGATAACGGAGTCTTAGATGTCGGAGTATGACTAGAGAAATAAAGCAATAGCAAACTGTGTTTATCTAGTTCACAGTAATTGGGCCCAAATTTATTGGGAAGAACATTTGCTTGCAACCAACTGAGATCAAAAGCTTTAAAAAAATGAAGGCCAAAAATTCGTTATTATTTGAGAGCAGGTAATTTTTTCTGGTTGGCAAAGTACGCTCCGTAGATATAAACAAATTACTAGTGCGACATTACCAGAAAGTAGAGAAATAAATCAATTGCATTCGAGCATGCATTTCGGCTGAAATTCATGAACATAAAACTTGTAATCCGCGCAGGTACGAGATCAGACATCTCAACAGGCTCGCATTCATGGTGATTGAATTAATTAAATTCAAACGTTCACAAAATAACTCATCTGGCATAGATGCGTGTAATGCTTGATGCTTAATTGAGACTTAATATTGATATAAGTATGCTTACTGTCGTGTCGGTTCATATCGTGCAATTCAATAGCTTATATGTCCAATAAATTTGCATATAATAAAATCAATGGTTAAACAATCAATATTTAATATAATATAGAGAGCAAAATGAGAGATTTCATTGGTTCACCTGATTGCAGTCCAGATGTCGGAGTGCCTCTTGAGACAGGGCTCAATGAATCCCTTGTTGAGCCTATAGGAAGAAACAAAACATAAAAATGAGTTACAAATTCTTTATTGATTATTTAAATGAATTTTCCATCATTAATCTAACGATGGAGAAAGTGAAGTAAGTGTCTATGGTATACCTAGCAAATGATTCTCGTGGAATAAAATTCAAAAAAACATTACAGCCACAAATATTGTGAATACATATCTTAATATTAAAATCACTTGACTGCTTAAATCGCAAGTTTATCAAAAATTTGAAAGCAAAGAAAATAGCCAGAAAATTCACCATTTCTTAAAAAGGAAAACGTTTCGGAGACCAGCTCCATCATCAGTTCAAAACCTAAAACACAGGTACAAACAATTAGCAATAAATTCACATTGATGCATAAACCGTCAAATGAGAAACAAACAAGAATGAAGCAAACACGGGCACAAATCTATCTATTTACAATTTCGAGGGGATATGAACTATTAGCGGCATTTAAAATAGGCTTTTGTTTAAAAATATAAAGGGACTCTAGAATTCGCAAGTCGGAAACACCGATCGTGGAGGCTAAAATTCGAAAATCACTATCGGACACTGGCACGTTGCACTGCTCGGCATGGACGCATACTGCTGAATGAGGGGGATGCGAAAGCAGGTTTCCTGTTCTAAAACTCCTTCCTTCTTGTTTGTTTCTCATTTGACGATTTATGCATCAATGTGAATTTATTGCTAATTGTTTGTACCTGTGTTTTAGGTTTTGAACTGATGATGGAGCTGGTCTCCGAAACGTTTTCCTTTTTAAGAAATAGTGAATTTTCTGGCTATTTTCTTTGCTTTTAAATTTTTGATATCTTAATATGTATTTCAGCTCATTTCGTTTTAGCTACTACCAAATTAAGAACACGTGATTCATGTAGAAGTAAGAAATTTTTGAAAATGGAATTAAGTACAACCTGAAAATGCATGGAGCCCTGCGTCAAAACTTCCGTCACTGATTGCTGTCAGTGCTGAAAGCAGGAATGAGGGAAATCAAAACACGGAACGGCGAAGACAATGGAATCACTTTACAAATAACATGAATAATGAATAAATTGCATGATGTCTAATGTTAAGCAGCATGTAATAGAGGTCATTTTATTTTCAGTACAGCAAGCTAACTGACGATGTTGCCGCAACAGAAAAATATTTTAAGAAAACTTGGCAACGACGGAAAATTTATGCAGGGTTGGAACAAAATTGAAAAATAATTTTTACGTAACAAATTAACAAATTTCATTAATTATCCACCAATTAATTCTGTGCACTCATCGAGACACCGACACAAGTTCAGGTCCCCAATAAGGTAGGCACCTACCTGTGTCAAGGCTTCTAAACGAATCCAAAAAATCCTATTTTAGGCCAGGTTCTTACAGATACATAAATTATTGCGCATACATGAGTGTAGAGACACCAAAACGACACGTACGGTCAGAAGTAGGTGAATATGTGAGTCTGTAGGTGATGATGACGCCGTTGGCGAGATGCTCTGGTGGAGGCAGCCAGTTCACCACGACGCCTGATGACGACGCGGGCTCGCAGCTTACCTGCTGGGGAGGCGCACTGGGACCTATAACATGTTTGGACATGTTGAAACATATTTGACATGTTGTAACATGTTTGGGCATGTAGGAACATATTTGACATGTTGTAACATGTTTGAGCATGTCGGAACATATTTGACATGTTGTAACATGTTTGGACATGTTGAAACATATTTTGACATGTTGCAACACATTTGGGCATGTTAAAACATATTTGACATGTTGCAACACGTTTGGATATGTTGAAACATATTTTGACATGTTGTAACACATTTGGGCATGTTGGAACATATTTTGACATGTTGCAACATGTTTGGGCATGTTGAAACATATTTTACAACATGTTTGGGCATGTTGAAACATATTTGACATGTAACACATTTGGGCATGTTGAAACATATTTGACATGTTGCAACACATTTGGGCATGTTGAAACATATTTGACATGTTGCAACATGTTTGGGCATTTTGGAACATATTTTGACATGTTACAACATGTTTGGGCATGTTAAAACATATTTTGACATGTTTTAACACATTTGGGCATGTTAAAACACATTTTTATATGTTGCAGCACGTTTGGGCATGTTAAAACATATTTGACATGTTGCAACACATTTGGGCATGTTGAAACATATTTTGACATGTTGCAACATGTTTGGGCATGTTGAAACATATTTTGACATGTTGCAACACATTTGGGCATGGTAAAACATATTTGACATGTTGCAACACATTTGGACATGTTGAAACATATTTTGACATGTTGCAACATGTTTGGGCATGTTGAAACATATATGACATGTTGCAACACGTTTGGGCATATTAAAACATATGACATGTTACAACACATATGGACATGTTGAAACATATTTTGACATGTTGTAACACATTTGGACATGTAGAAACATGTTTTGACATGTTGCAACACATTTGGGCTTGTTAAAACATATATGACATGTTGTAACACATATGGACATGTTGAAACATATTTTGACATGTTGAAACATATTTTGACATGTTGCAACACATTTGGGCATGTTAAAACATATATGACATGTTGCAACACGTTTGGGCGTTTTAAAACATATATGACATGTTGCAACACGTTTGGGCATGTTAAAATATATTTGACATGTTTCAACACGCTTGGGCATGTTGAAACATATTTTGACATGTTTCAACATGTTTGGACATGTTGAAACATATATGACATGTTGCAACACGTTTTGATATGTTGAAACATATTTTTGACATGTTGCAACACATTTGGGCATGTTAAAGCACATTTGACATGTTTCAACACGTTTGGGCATGTTAAAACATATTTTGACATGTTGCAACATGTTTGGACATGTTGGAACATATTTGACATGTTGCAACATGTTTGGATATGTTGAAAAATATTTTGACATGTTGCAACACATTTGGGCATGTTAAAACATATTTGACATGTTTCAACACGTTTGGGCATGTCGACACATATTTTGACATTTGCAACATGTTTGGGCATGTTAAAACATATTTTGACATGTTCAACACGTTTGGATATGTTGAAACATATTTTGACATGTTGCAACACGTTTGGACATGTTAGAACATATGTTGACATGTTTCAGCATATTTTTCCTTGCTGTAGTTTGTTTAGATATGCAGTGAAGAAATGGTAAACTTTAACGTTATTGCAACAATCTCAAAAATGTTGAGCTTTATTTGAATATAGTTTCATAATCATGCTTGCAATTTTTTTAATCATCACTTGTTAAGAATAACTGAGAGAAAGTAAGGGACATTCGTATCGGGTTTGACAAAATGTGAATTCTTGATAACGAAAGTTTCTCTTTAAAAAATTAAGGCATTAATGTAGGTATTGATGGTACATGTATTACAAGATCATTTTCTTTACTTGAATGCATATCGAATAAACTACTATTGGCTCCAAGAAAGGTCTCTCCTTCTGAAATGTACTTAATTTAAAAAATTATAATAATAAACATTAATTGGTATAAAACAAATCTCGATGTTGTCAACTTGTCTATCCCGGTGTGTATACATTTCCTTACACTAATATTCGGTTGGTCTTATAGGTAATAGATTAAGATTCAAAAAAGTATTCTGGCACTTTAAATTTAAATTATTATCAAATGTGCAGCCTCCCCTAGCAGAATGTTAATTTTTCGTGTAATTTAATGTAATAATAATTTTGAATCTTAAAGGAAAAACACTCATTACTAAAAAGTTTCAAGTCATAACATATCACTCACGGTCCTCCAAAGTTCTCGTCGTGACCGCAGCCGACGAAGGTCCTGCTCCTTTGGAATTGAAAGCACGAAGTACCAACGCGTACCGAGTGTAGGGACGCAGTCCTGCCAGGGTAACTTCCACGACACTGCCGACAACCGTGGGCGCCAGAGTCATGGTATTAGACGACAACAAATTGGTGGGGTCGATCTCAGGAGCGGCGGGGGGTAGACTGAGGCCCGGAGTTGCCATAATGGAAAGCTCCTGGTACGATTGACTCGGCCCAGGCAGGACAACGATGGTGAAATTGTACGGCCTCACATCAGCTCCGTTGATAAATCTGGAATTATAATATTCATAATTAAATTAAAATAATGTAATCAATGTAATCAACGTGATAATAATCATATTGCAACTGAAGCGGCAAGCTAGCAATTGATCTGTAATGAATTTGGAATTTTAGGCTCTACTGCGGCTCGTGAAGATACATCCTGCCGCAAAAAAAATATCGAAAATTTCGAGAATCCTGCTTCAGTTATCATGAAATCTCTTAACCCTCGACTAAATTGTTATTCAAACTTTTAGTTACGTCGAGAACGCAAAGTTATCTAGAAAAATATCTTAATAAACATAAATTCATAAATAACATTTCTAAGTTACCCGTTCTCCCTGAAACCGAGGTGGTAGCCCAATATGACCCCGTGGCTGAGGTTGCGTTGTGGAGGATCCCAGCGCAGACTGATGCTGGTAGATGTTCTTCCCGCTACCTAGACGAAGAATTTATTTAATTTATAATTTTTAGTGAGAATTTATGTAAAAATTTCAAATTTATATTATGGGAATTGGAAAATAAGTTCGCAAATGGGTTGTTGGTCAAATTAAGAATAATGAATTTTTGATTTCGTAAAATGCATGTAATATGGCGGAAACGATACGTTTCTCATTCAAGAATATTGAAATTTTTCGTGAGATATTTTAAAACTAGTAACCGTCAAACAAAACTTTGCCATTGATGCGAGTTCGAGAGTAGTATATATTAATCAAATTACAATAAACTACAATAAACTTGTAAGTTAATCAGTTGACAATAAATAGATAAATAAAAATAAATTTTTCAACACAAACCATGGTAAATTACTCAGTTAAGTAAGCTTAAAATTAAATAAACTACTAATGTGATAAAAAAAATTAGTGTCAATTTCAATAGGTATATTTCAGTAATACTAATTGTAGTGATAATTGAGATAGAAAGTGTAGTAATTAACTAAACTCACTTTAAGATTAAGTGGAGGCCCCTCCGGCGGCTCTTCAAGGGTGACAACCCTGACGTCGGCGGAAGGCTCGCTGCGGCCAACTCTGTTCTCGGCCGCCACCCGCAGCAAGTAGCCCGTCGCCGGCACCAGCCCGTCCACGCGCGCAGGAGGCATCGCCACTCGCACCTCCCCGGCCACGTCTACGAGCGAGCATTGCGGTGGTGTTCAGTGAATACAGATTCAAGATTGTGAAAGTGTGGTTATTATTTTATAAGTTATTTCATTTGATAAGGAAACGAGATTTTATTAATTAATCTGATTGTGCAAAACTAAATGCCAATCATGGTGCATGGGTCTGTTAAACACCTGAGCTTTACTCTACAATTAAGAACTATGGTTGTTTTGAAAGCCATTTACCGCATATTTTATTGTCTGGACTTTCTTCATTGTTGGGTTGTAGATTTTTGGAATATAGCTATATAGATTTGTCAGTTGAATGAAACATGCTCTTCCCAATTACTATAAACAATTATAGGATTGTGCCTCGGTTGATGCGACAGTTGGCAGTCCCGACATAATAGTCAGAAATATAAAAGTTAGAATTTTTGATATAAATAATTGTCAGAATTTATGAAAAATAAACATTGTGCATAAAAGCACAAGTCGTTCAGTTTGTTTATTGCATGCTATATACGTATGAAATTTGAAGCTAGCAGTAATACATGACGAAATAAAGTAATGAAATAAAAATAAATGAGAACAGATAAAATGACTTGCATTACAACTCTCAGTCTATCCGACTTCATCGAATCAAGAGAACTTGAATCAAGTAAAATTCTATCGATGATAACTTCTTGTATTTTTAACTATATTTCAATTCCGATGGAATAAGGACGATATGCGCTGCCTCCAATCAGTCAGTAAATATCAGACAGTTCAAATTAATATATTTAAACATTACGTGTAGCATTTAGCACAGTTTCACCAAATTCACGATGCAGAATCTTTCGGGAATTTTGGAAAATTCATAGGAATAAATTCTTGAGGAATATTACGAAGGAAATTGAGATTCTTTGTTACGATGTTATTCTAGCACAGAATTTGGGTTCACAGGACTCAGATGTCAGAGGGGTAGGTCGGAATGTAATTCTAGAACATCATTAGTACTCACTGGAGTCCGAAGTGAAGGTCGGGATGTAATTCTTGATCATCATTTGTACCTTCTGGAGTCAGAAGTGTAGGTGGGGATCAAATCCTAGAACATAATTAGTACTCACTAGAGTCAGAAGTGTAGGTCACAATGTAATTGGTAAGAGTGCCGGTGATGGACGCCGTGGTTGACCAGTTGAGACTAACGTAGCGAGACCCAATTTCCATTAAACTCACTTCAGTTGGAGGAGACGGCACATCTGAGAACCAAGTAAATAGGAAAAAGTAAAAGTTAATATTCCATAGTATATAATATGCGTTGAATATATTTTGCTGGAAAAGCTGCGAATCGCCTGAGAGTTAGAAATACAATTTAGATTCAGAAATTTGTTTTAGGTAAATAATAATATATTTTTCTATTTATAATCATTTTTATAACAATTTAAGCACGTTTATACTATTAATTTTAATCCACACTGACATTCCCTAAAAGAGGACTTCAATTTCAAATCTGATTGGGAACAAAATCTTAGATCAAGATTTGTTCTCTACAATTCACTTCAACTGAAATAAAGTATCAGAGAAGTCTTTCTCGCGCATCTGATCATCGATGACATTTGCAAGAAGTTAATTGAAAACAAAATATAAAACGAAACCTTTTATGTGAAGTCAAGGCATACCATCGCATTTTCAAAATTACATTCGAGGCTCAGGCAACATTTGCGAGGCCCCAGCAACAGCAGGCGTGGCCTGATACTACAAACTAGCTCAACATCCAAAATTAATTCATGATTTATACCGCATTACCCTCACCCTGCACACTGAGTGTGACGGTGTAGGTATTCACGCCGTGCACATTTGATGCTCGGCATTGGTACGAGCCGCTGTCGTCTGAAGACGCAGCATTTACAGTCAAAAGAGAAACTTCCTCAAGCTCCTCACGAACAGACTGCACTTTGTACCTACAACCAAAGTTACGAAAAGTGAAGTAATTAATTAATAATACCATTAATACGTAAGTTATACGTAATTAATTACGTATAACTATCATAATTTAATAGAGCCTAATCTTTTGGAGTAGCTGATTTTTTTTTTTTGCTCCAGCTTCTGCAAAAATTGAGATACAAATTTATAAACATAAGTGAGTGTTATAATTGCATCATCCATTGACGTTTGATAACCTTCCACGTTTTCTTAATACTTTTTCTCTGGTCTCAAGCCCGAAACTCTCTGCTTCAATCTTGTTGTGCTTTAACACCCACCACCTCTTCGATTACGAAAATAAATTTCCTCACTAGCAGCTAGTTTCAAACCTGCAACTCAATCTAATATATAATAAGTCAATCATAATCATTAAGTAATCATTACTTATCGGAAGGCGCAATGGCGTCGCCGCGGTAGCTCCAGACAACGGTGAGCGGCGCGTCGCCCCGCGCCCTGCACTCGAGCGTCGCGGCCACCCCCGCCTCCACCTCCACCGTCACCTGCCCCCCCTCCGGGAACCAGGGGGGCTCTGTCACCGAGTGATCAACGTTAATTTAGCGAAGGATTTTTTAGATATTTTAAATAATTAACATCATTGGCGTCTTCAAAATTGACCGAAACAGAAATAAAATTGAAGGATTTCAAGTTATTTTTTAGACTAACAACTATGCTTCCCTAATCCTGGCATTTTCCAATACTCTAAAAAATAAATTTAGGCTTCTCCAATTGAAATAAAATTTTTCAACTAACACGGCAATTAAAATTCACTAACACTAAATGAAATCAACAACCTCGATGAGCATCGATTAAAAAATGCAATTGAAAATTCACGAACTCAACAACAATCTCCATACAATAAAATAGATCATCGTCACAGACGCGTCCAAAAACAACGAAGCTTCTCGAGACAAGTAAATCTGACAACCAACAAAAAAAATCATTTAGTTTTAGTAATATTGACAGGAAGAATTTGGGAAAATGTCTCCCACCCACAAAGCCTATATAATAATTATTATACCTCGCGGAAGCGTAGCACATTGGCATCTATGGAAAGGTAGAGCCGTTTTGCCTTGTGAATATGTAAAGGCATGAATGAAGGTGAGATTTTGCGACGTGGAAAATGTTGCAATTAAAGAGATTGAATAGCAAGTTCCCAGGAAAAAAATTATTCCATTGCAGTACTTCAAGGATTGCTCTCGCGACCACATATAAAGTGCAATAAAACACATTGATGTTCGTCTGGTACGGGATACAGGGCATTTGCACAAAATTACATAACAAAATCCAATACATTGCAAATCCAAAAAGTATGAACAACTAACTCACTCCTCAGTCCAGATATTTTTAGTTTGGTTTCATGATGCTAATTTCAGAAAAATTAAAAGTTATATTAAAAGCCATAAATCAAGAATATAAAATTTTTATTTTATTGTCAAATTTGAATACAGTTATTCGTAATATGGCGCAATCATTGAGAAATTCATTTCACATGCACAGTAATTCATATTAAATATTTGTGTAAAGACAGCCACACTCGTTCAGGCCTCCCTCGCTGATACTAAAAACATTTACGACAGTTCGCAAGAGCTTACGATGATGCAAATGTTGCAAATTTCAATTTTTTCAATTTTCTAAAACAGTTTCATTGCATTTTTTTCAAGGTTTGCTCTCCTAGCCACACTTACAGTTCAGTAATGTTGAGGCAAGCAGTTTGCTTCACTCAGGCCTCACCGAGGACTGTGATGGTGACAAGCTTGGCAAGTTCGTTGCCGACATTGTTCGAGGCTTGACAAAGGTAGCGGCCTTCGTGCTTTCTGGTCGCTCGGACGATCGTCAGCACACTTCTGCCTCCACTCTCATATGGACCTAAAAAACAATATTTCAATCATTAACAATGTTGACATGTATAAATCTTTAACAATGTTGACATGTTGAAGTTGAGATTACGGAATACTTTTTACACTAGATTGATAGGGATTGACTATCGTCGCTCTAATATGCGCATAGCCGTAAAGGGCATCATTTTGAGCTGTGTGGATTTTGAGATTAACACTAAAAACTTGATGATATCATATATATGTATAGATTATGCCTTAATATAACTGTATAATGGTTTTCATTTTGAAGAGCAGTTCTCACTTGCACATGAAACTTGGGATACAAGAAATTTTTTTAGAAAAAAACTGTCACTTTTTTATGACCTCAGTACCGTCACCGTTTTCAATAATGTTTGTATACGAAAACATTCATGCAAAGAAAAGGAGAAAATCTCCTTGATAGAAGGAGGTAAAATTGAACTGAATCGTCCATTTAATTCCAAAACAAACCATGATACCTACTCCTGTATTCAGTGCCTGAATATGGCCGCTGGCTGTCGTCTCCCGTGGTCACGGCGTAGGGGGCCTCCTGCTTGTCCTGGTCGCCGTACTTCTGGCTGATGCCGCCCCAGCCACCCGAGGCTGACAGTAAGCGTACATTTGTCAAGTATTTACCAATCTAAACTCTACTCATTTATTATTTTTAATAAATATTATCTATATTTAAGTAGCTAAGATTTTCTTCTGTTAATATATGATTTTCATACTTGAAAATGTGAACAAGATTGAAAATCTGAACGTGCTTGGAAATCTGAACGTGATTGAAATTCTAAACGCGAATTCTAAACGTAAACGTGAATCCTACATCGCCAATACGCCGTGAAGTACTTATATTAGAAGAATATTTCAAATTTATTCACTGCATGAGGACCCAATTATGGAGCTCACGTGTCTGTTGTCGCCAGCTCACTGATGGTCTGGGGAAAGCCTTGGCGCTGCAGGGCAGCTCCAGCGCCGCGCCCAGCGCAACACTCGCGTCCTCAGGCTCCTGCACCCACTCGGGCGGCACTGCATGCACATTTACTAAGCTAAATTAATTGATTAAGAAGGAGTTAATTTGTTTGCATCGTCGGTGAAATTAGCATAACGACTGAAGAATTGGTGGGCAAACGAAAAAGTTTATTTTAGTTTACACGATAACTTTTTCAATTTTGGAAATTATTCAGAAATAATTGAAATCTAGCAATTCCGGTCATAAATTAAAATGGAGACGTAATATATAGTAAAGAAAAAGTGTATATGACAAAATCTGTTTCATGATCTAATGTTTACAGAAGAGTGAGAAATTTTCGATGAAACTTTCTTAGTGGTTTATAACAAGATAAATATCATGGCTGAAAAAATTATTGTCTAAAATCTTAAATAAACCCCAAAAAAGTCAAATGTCACACGTAAATAAAAGAAAACTTTGCCGTAAACCGCTTGTTTAGAATTCAATTATATAAATTGACTTACTTTAATCAGGCCTAGACATGAATATAAACGCATGTTTATTAGCAGCACTTTATTTGTATGACCCTTCACAGAAGCTCGTTTTTAACCTAAGTCTGCCAAAAGTAAGGTACTGAAAAGCAAGTAAGCTGTTGAAATCATTAAGTAATTTGATCGACCTTTGGATTTCAACAATATTTGATCTCGCTCTATTATTCGCACAGTTTCTAGTCCAAAAAATATCGCACTTGGCATATTCTCCTACCACAAATTCACTAGTCCAACAGAGACAACAAATGACCTACCACTGACTGTCAGTTGCGCTGAAACAGTGGTCGACATAGCCGAGTTCGAGGCTGTGCATGAGTAGTTGCCAGAGTCCTCGCCGCTGGTTTTCTCGATGGCAAGAAGTGAAGTGAACTCATTAACGTGCGTGATGACCACGTTGGAAGTTTGCTCGAGCTGAGTGCCGTCTTTGGACCAGGTGAGGGTGATGGGCGTGTCGCCCCCCAGCACGAGACACGTGGCCTGGGTCCGCAATCCAGCGCTGTTCTCCCCAACGAAGTAGATGTGCGCCAGCCTGGGGGGAACTGTCACGAGAACATCAATATTATTTTATATGGAGAGGACTGTCTGTATATATTATTGTGTATGGGGGGAACTGTCACGATACCAACAATAGTATTGTATATATTGGAGGGAACTGTCACGAGACCGATAAGCATAGCCAAAAATTTTCGATATTAAATTACTTTAATTTCCGTTTCCGGTCTTTAAACCCAATAGCCCCAAAATCCTATAATTCATTGTAGGAACACATTTTACAACCCGCGAAACAATGCCAATCGGTGTGATCTACAAGCATCAAGTAACCCAACAACAAGACAAGGATTTCCGTCAGCTTTATTATTCGGTGTCCAATAAAAATAGAATTAAAACCTTTAACTTGAATGTGGAGCGTCTGGTGGTCGGAGCGGCCCTGCTTGTCGAGCGCCGTGCAGGAGTAGCTGCCTTCGTCACCCGCCCGCGTGACCGCAGCGATCGTCAGCGTCCCGTTGACGTGCACGCGCTGGTGATGCGTCGCCGGAAGCTGCATGCCGTCTTTTAGGAATATTAATGGCGATACTTAACGTCGGATTATGCCTGATATTGGCTGCACGCGCAATTGAATGGGTAACAGGCAGCTAGCTGCGCCCCGTCTGGAGACAAAATGCCACTGACTGTGTATGTCGTACATTGCCTATAAGAGGTGTACATTGTACAGTGTAAACGCCTTGGCGGTGAGTTATGTTAGGCCGCATGCCGTTTGTTAACTCGCAGCTGAAAAACAGTGTGTTCAAGTCAAAAGAGGATGATACACAAAATTTTTGTCAGCAAAAGACACTTCCATAACGTTCGGACGAGAAAAAGAGCGTTTGCATGTAAGAGGTCGATTCACTCACACACCTTTTTGCCAGGTAATTTTGTCGATGGGATAGCCGCCGACGGGGCAGGTGACACTCAAGGTTTGGCCTGCGACGGCCGTGAGTTGCCCCACGTGGCGGATGGTCGGAGGTCCGTAGACGTTGAGGCGAGCAGAATGATGCGCTTGACCAGCCGTGTTGTGAGCCGTGCATTGATACAATCCTCCGTCAGCCACACGCACGCTGCTGATGTTCACGTGGCTGATCACGTCGCCATGAGCTGACACGTACTGACCCATCACGAACCTGATGAGCAGAGATCGGTTTAAGAGACATGCACGTGGCTGATCACGTCGCCATGAGCTGACATGTACTGGTCCATCACGAGCCCGATGAGCAGAGATCCTTTAACATCTCTGCATGTGACTTATCTCATCACCATCAGTAAATACGCACCGACTAAAATCCAAGAAGAAACGAACCACCATGAGCAGAGATCGGTTTAAGAGACATGCACGTAGCTGATCACGTCGCCATGAGCTGACACGTACTGACCCATCACGAACCTGATGAGCAGAGATCCTTTAACATCTCTGCATGTGACTTATCTCATCACCATCAGTAAATACGCACCGACTAAAATCCAAGAAGAAACGAACCACCCGTTTGATTTCCCTAAAACGGACCATCAGCTGCCGCTAGCATCGAGTGAAAAACCTATCTCTGATCGTTAGGCCATCGAACATCAGGTGTTTAAGCAGAAGAATCGTCCTCAACGCACTGGAATGCACTTGCTAATGTAATTTATTCATTTAATTATTCTCGCCCCTTGTCTCCAAGCCGAGCCTCTAAAGTTCGTTTATACGGGCTATAGAATGAAGAGTTAACTTATGGTAAGCTTTATTTTATTGCCTTCTTGATCAAGTCATTTAAACTAAATTAATATGAATGGCATTTTAAACAACCTTAGCTGAGCAGAAAAAAAAGTATTCTAGCAAGTGATCGGAAGCCGAAAGCAAAATAAAATAATAAATAATACGAAAGAAAAATAATTAGAAAGAACACGAAAAACGACGTTCTCTTTCTTCACAACGACACAACTTTTCTCTATCTGTTATACTAGATATCTTATGCTAGGTAAAGCCATCGATTTTCGGAGCAACTTCGCTTTCAGCCGCCGTCCGAAGACTGTTTGTCCCCTGAAACTTTGGAGAGGTAACTTGTCGGCAGAATCAGCGGAAGATGGATCCTCAGCTCACCAACAATGGTAAACATGTTAGTAAAGTTCGGTGTGGCGCTTACGAAAAACTATTCGCTGGTGCTCGCGACCTTTTGTCACGGCTCAGCAGATATTGCAGAGCGCTGCTATTATAGCGTCTGTCTAAGTTTCGAACACTGCGTTCTTTATTCGTGTCGTACTCGAACACGAAATCATTTACCCAACCTAGAAGCAAAAGTTCCGACAATAAGGAGCAAATCACATTGAACAACGTTCATTGGAACAACGTTCATTCGTTCATTAATTATTTCTGCGTTTGTATGCATGATATCATCGCACTACAACATGTCGATCCGTTCGTCTTATAGTTAAATTACGCAAGTCGATCACTAACTTAAATCTCCCCAATAAGCAAAATATTTAAGCAGGATCGATTAGAGCACAGATTACAAAACTGTAGACTAATACGCTTGCCGTATTTATGCAATAGCTGCATTCACCCAAACACAAAATGAGTAATCATTGAACACGAAAATTCCTCATATTCAATAATTATATTTCACATGTCTACACTTTCAAATTTTAACGGAGAATCGTAGTTGCATATTACACTCAATTTAACAAATAATGAAAAAACATATATACAGTTTGGTCGTCATTTAAATGTCTTGCATATCACGAAATACAAATTTTGCAAAAAATATTGAATAATGAAATAAAAGTTCAGGTTTAAATATTACTTATTATTAGCAAATGATGATAAAATAATTAGCCAGAGGTTAAACGTTCCACTATAGGAGTTAAGGGGAAAATTTCATCCCGTGATCGTTAACCACCGTATGTATAGCTATGTTTTAAACGTGGATAGATCAACATGCGTAACTGTAGATAAAAAGCATTTTTGTTCCAAGTGAAATTTGATGATTTATCGCTCATATCATCAAAAAACTGTGCCCAATTTACTGAAAACTTTCACAAGTAACTAAAGAAATTGGAACTTTCAACCTGAACTGGGTAATCGAGAGTTGAAAAAATGTAACTCAGTACTCACTGCAGTGAGTGACAGAGAGCGCATTTTCTCGTCGACGAAAACGTGGTCACGGACGGACGGACGGACGGACAGACAGACGGACGGAAATGACGAGCACAATGGCGCCTTTTTTCCATAAATAAGAAAATGCGCTAAAAAGATGCAATAAAGTTCGTTGAGTGGGAAGGCTATTCATTTGACGAACTCGAAATTTGCCTTCAATAACTGCACATTTCGCTTCTGTTATTAAACTAAATTTTATTGAAATTCTGATAATTCTTGCCGAATTTTTAGTGCACAGGTGGAAAATTCGCGTGACTAAACCATAGCTAATTAAATCATATTTTAACATCATTCCCTTAACAATTTCTGACATATTTTAATAGAACTCCTCATTTTTCTATAATTCGTATTCGATAGTTAAACTTTGCATCCGAGAAAAAAATTCCACAAAAAATCGAAACACTTACGGCCTTTGCCGTCCGCTGCAGAGTAATCATTCAACACGTTGACTACGATTGCTTCATCTTGTACTATTATTTCATTTTTTGTACTATTTTTAAACAGGGTTGACAGACGGTCATTTTTTCTGGACAAATTCCGTGATTTAGTTTTTCTCAATTGAGTTGGCCAGCTAAAATTTATGATAGGGGTACTTCTTAATTAAATTTTAAATACTGCAAAAAGAAAATAAATGGAATTTTAATAGCGGAACCTACAAATAAACTAGTATATATTGAGTTATCGGCCTTTTTTGGCCTTTTTTGTTCTCGGATTTGGCCGATTTAAGGCAACCTGAATTATGTACCACGACGTCCTGGAGAAATACATTTCGTGGTACGCATTGTACCACTTCGTAGCAACGTGTTAAAAAGTATTCGATTAAATTTTCGTGTAAGCTGGATCAAAATTGCGACACCCCTGATTTTAAACACAAAAAGCGAACCGCTAATAACATTTTTTTCGCAATTAGCTCCGACGAAATGAAAATAAAAAAGTCAATTTGAGGTTTGAGAAGAATAGTGGAAATTAAAAAAAATGAATCTAGTTTTCAATCATTTTCTGTCTCAATTTTGATAGAGCTTCCTAAATTATTGTTCATGTATTTCGTAAAACCTGTCATGTACTTTTTCCCTTGCTTTTGCTAAAAGATCTTGATCAGTATAAGCAAGGCCATTTAACTATCAAACTGTTTATGCATCTTTTGCCTCTGCAATAAATAATCCATTTCTTGCACTACCCACATCTCTGATCGCATCGTTGCCACCATTTCATTGGCATTCAAGAACGCAATAAAATAATGTAACTTATGACTGAGATATCGTGTGGTAAAAAGGTTCAACAATGAAATGGTTGGAACTTTTTGTAAATACTGTTCCAATTATTACGGTTTAAATATCGTTCTATACTGCAATTATTACGATTTAAATATCGTTCTAACTGAAATTATGTTCCATGTGTGCCACTGAGACTAATGAATTTGAGATTGCAGAATTTCGCATTATATGATCAGTGATGTAGATGATTTTAAAGTGTACTGAATGGAAGCGATAGTTCAAATTCGTCACAAGCAATGGTCACAGTTGAAGAATTCACATGCAATCAAAACTGAAATGCCACGGCATCATTTATGCATCTTATCACAATGCAAGGTTCTTGAATTACTTTTGCGAAAGTAAAGAGATTTTACTACAAACATTTGGTGCTATCAACGAAATAGTAAGATCATAGCTTCAGAGTTCCTACTAGAGAATTGCTGAACTCTAGCTCCTTGAGCCAAAGCACTAAACTTTGAGCGTAAAGAATCATTATAAGTCTCCCTAAGTTTAGCATCACACGGGTTAAAGTACTCTATTGCAAATTCAGACCTTCAAGTGCAGCCAGTTTTATTTTTCCACAGCAGCTACTATATATGAGGCGCAGTTTAGCCTTTCCTCGCCAAGATAGAGCCGCTCAGAGACCTAACAACTTTTCTCTCCATTGAAGTTTCAATTGAGCTCAATAAATGCAAATGAGGAGGCTGCCCACAGGCGTAAAGATATGTAACTGTACTTTTTGCGACGTATTCTTCACTGTATTATAAATTTTTGTGTCGTCAGCATACATCGAGCACACGCTAGACACAGCCTCTGGCAGATCGTTTATAAACGCAACGAATAAAACAGGCCCGAGAACGCTTCCTTGTGGCACGCCGCTGCGCACTGGAGCGCAGTCTGATAAGGACCCATTGATACTGACACGTTGTCGTCTCCCTACTAGAAAATCTCTGATCCATTTGGGTACATTGCTGTCAATTCCCAAAGACTGCAATTTCCGCATCATCGAATGTTATTTTTCAGCCCAGTCTGATAAGGACCCATTAATACTGACACGTTGTCGTCTCCCTACTAGAATATCTCTGATCCATTTGAGTACATTGCTGTCAATTCCCAAAGACTGCAATTTCCGCATCATCGATGGTTATTTTTACATGAATATAAAATAGTGAGTGGAATCGATCACTCATGTGACTCATCATTTGAATGTGACTTCACAATTCGAATCAATTTCTGGGATAACTTTAAATTTTATCTGTTGTAGGGAACTATGAAACTCTCTATTTTGGGATCACAAACAGGAGAATTTGTAAATGAAGTTAATAATTAATCTCGAAGTTATGGTGATTGAACTTACCACTATTGTATTACGTAGTGCCAGGCGTTTCAACAAATATATTTTGGAATATTTATGTCAACTTTACGGTGGCCACTACTTGCACCTTTGTACCGTCAACCAAGTCAGCTCCGAAATGAGACTCAATTTACAAAGATTTGTGATACGAATTCATCACTTACGACAATTAAAAACCTGAATGATTTTTTGGATGATTGAATCGAGTTCACGTCAGAGGTATTTAATGAAATGGATATGAACGGCAAGTCGTCCAAGGTTCTGCTTGTTCAGTAAGTTTTCACCGTGGAAGTGACAAATTTAAGTAAACCCGTGATACGAATAGATAATACATAGCCAGACAGGTCGTGGGAATGAAGAGATTGAGAAAAGAACCCAGATTTG